TTTTTTAATTGCAAGTTTGAAATCGATTTAGAGCCATTGTTCGCGCCACAGTAAGAGACAGAGATACTCACAGAGTTCCCTTTTGAAACATATTTCTTTTTATAGCAAGTATTTGTAATTTCCTCAAATCAATTAAAATAAAAGTTTTAACTTAGCTTTTAACAAGTGCATTATAGAAAATATATTTACATAGAATTGCATTAATATGTATCCTAAGCAGATTGAAAAATTTGGCTCTCTGAAAACATCTTCGAGATACCCGAGTTCTCTTTCGAAACATGTCCCACAGTGGACTGATCGCTAAGACACGGTTCCCAGCAGATCACCGAAGTCAAGCATCACTGGCTGCGGTCAGTGTGCGGGTGAGTGACCCACTTGGATTAGTCTGCATAGGGACCGAGGGTGTGCGGTATTGGTCCTCGTTAAAATTTTCTACCGTAAAGTGCTCGACTTCGCGTGCAGGTCGTCGGGCTACCGAAGCGGGGGTGCCATTCCCTCTGCAGAGGATCAAAATTGTGACGCCATGTCTTCGGATCATCCTCAGAGATGTTTCCCAGGCCGTCGCCAATAGCCTATTGGGCAGCTCTAGTGCGACGTAAATGAACTACAACTACAGCTCTTTTGAAACATAATATTTATTTCTATAGCAAGTGTTTGTTATTAATTTCCTTAAAACAATTAAAATAAAAGTTCTAACTTAGATTTTAACAAGTGCATTATAGAAAATATATTTACATATAATTGCATTAATATGTGTCCTAAGCAAATTAGACAATTTGGCTCTTTGAAAACATCTTCGAGATACCCACCGAGTTCTCTTTCGAAACATAATAAATATTTATTTTTATAACAAGTATTTGTAATTAATTTCCTTAAATCAATCAAAATAAAAGTTTTAACTTAGCTTATAACAAGTGGATTATAGAAAATATATTTACATAGAATTGTATTAGTAAATGTCGAAAATGCCGAAAACAAATTAGAAAATTTCGCTCCTAGAAAACATCTTCGACATTTTGGCTAGTTGGAAAAATCTCTAGTATTTTCTAATCAGCCATATTTTAAGCTCATTATAATTATCCCATATTCTTTCAGTCTAAGTTGAAAATGTGTGAATATTACTTATTTAACTTGAATTTGCTTAAACTTACTGTACTGAACCTTGTCTTCTACAAGTGCGGTGAACATAGAAATTAGTAAATGAAATCAAAATTTATTGTTAATTAATGAAAAAGAAATCATACTTCAACAGGATACTTAATTTGATTTTTTAAAAAATATTTTTTTTTAAATCGTGGTTTCTTAAAATTCACACAAATGTTTTATATTTTTATTTATTAGATTTTCAGATTTTAACGTAAAAATTCGATTAGTTAATGATTAAGCCATTATACTTTTTTAATTAAAGATACTTTAAAATAAATAACAAAAACTATCGATTTAATTAAGTTTTTTACCTGAAATTCTGTATTGGTAAACTAATTTTTTTATTGAATTAAATAATTTTAGATAAATGCAATTAGTTTCAAGAATACTACCGAAATTATGTTTTTTAAAAGAGCAACTTCAAGAACTTTAATATTATAACTTACTTCTGAATGCATATTATGTTTATTTCTCGAAACGTATGATACTTGTTCTCTGATTAGACCAGTTGCAAGTGAGCTTATTGCAATAAGCTGATAAACTGTGAAGCTGATAAAAAAAATACTGGAGACTTTTTCAATTACCCTGACTTGTTGTAAAATGTCGTCGGCTCTTTGCAAAGAGCCGGATTCAACATTTAGATTTCATTTCTATATTTTCGCACGAATAAAAATATTAAATTATATGAGTAATCCAAGAAACACTTAAGTACTACTCCTTTACTACGTTATTCTCAGATGTGCTTTTATCATTCAATTTTTTACTAAAACGATGTTTTAAAGTATACTCTAAGACTTCAATTATTAAGGTTTGATTTTTCTCTTTCAATGCTTTCAATTCGTTAGTGTCTTCAAAGTAACTAAAATTGCAAGCAATATAATTCATAACATAGTCTTTCAAACCACTATCGTACAAATCTGCAGCTGCCAATATTGCCAGAGCGTTGTCAGTTGTCAAGTTAGACTTCAAATACTCTACACAAATTCTAACTAATCCAAAAATTCCATACTTATCACCCACAAACAAGAGATCACAAGCCATTTCGTAATCTAAATCTGTCACCTGACTGCTGTACAAGAATTTCAGAGTTTTTTGCAAAACGGGTAACTTCACGTCTGTTAGCAGCAGTTCATTACCCTCGCCTTCTGCCATACTGGATTTGAACATGGCCGCAAAGATAGGGGACCTCGCCGACATGATGTTTTTGTGCGCAGGAATTTCTGAAGAATCACATTTGATTGTGACATCTGAAAACGCACCTTCTTCCAACAGAGACAAAAAATCATAAGACAATTGTGTTAACGGATTATTTTGTATGATATGTATCTCCGATGAATTGAATTCACCCCCAGTGTTAACCACAACATCGTCAGAATGTGAAATGGAGACATTGCCTTGGACACACAGTTTCGAGTTTTCGAAAATTACGTAAGAAAATTCACACATTGTTAAATTCAGCGATATAGGAAAAGTAGAATCACCATCTGCTAGAATATTGTTAAACTCCGTTTTGCTTAACAGTTTGTGAGTGGTTATGTCATACAGGGAAACAGTGCCTTCGATTTCGACTGCTTCATCACTGTTGTCTCTTTCCAGCAACAGAACAGCGTTTTCTTGCTGACCATAAAATGATCGGTCATATATTTTAGTATGTTGAAACCGCAATAGCCATTCCGTATCTGTCACAGTTCCCAAATGAAATTTCGACACCTTGATAACAGTGCTTGGTGGTTCATAAGGCAAAACAGAACCATTTGTATACAATGTTCGAATTCTACTAAATTCTAAGTCAAGGCGCCATGAAAAAGGTATATCTCCCATTTTTTGCGATACAGAAGGACTACCAAAGAGGAATTTGTAAAGAATCCGATGTCAAATTGAAACGAAAGCTGTCAAAATGTTTCAGTGAATGATGAAATTATTCTTATTGTAGATTCTAGAAGAGTGCAACAAGCTCTTTGCATAAGCTTATAGCTCTGCATTACCATTAATGTTGCCTAGGGTTGAGAATTGATAGATAGCAGGAGGTTGCTGTTGCAGTTAATTTACGTCGCACTAGAGCTGCACAATGGGCTATTGGTGACGGTCTGGGAAACATCCCTGAGGATGATCCGAAGTCATACCATCACAATTTTGATCCTCTGCAGAATTGTTGTCACCCCCGCTTCGGTAGCCCGACGACCTGCACGCGAAGTCGAGCACTTTACGGCGGAACAGTTTAACGAGAACCAATACCACACGCCCTCGGTCCCTACGCAGACTAATCCAAGTGGTCACCCACCAGCACACTGACCGCAGTTAGTGATGCTTGACTTTGGTGATCTGCTGGGAACCGTGTCTTAACAATCAGTTCACTGCCGGACAGCAGGAGGTTGCAGTAAAAAGTCAGAAGAGGTTCGTTCATTGGAAATTTTTTTAGAAGGATTAGAGTTTGGTCCGAGAATTGAAAGACAAGTCCACGATATCGGTATATGCTGGATTTTGAAGCGATAAGGACTGGTATATTTCTTTACGAGCAGCCTGGAAGGAGGGATATTCCATGAGGAAGTGATCGTTCTTGTCGATACCTCCGCAGTACGGACAGTTTCAGTTTTGTATCGATTTGCACTTCTGTAAAATCGCATTTGTCGGAATAGATATAGTTCGGAGCCTGGCAATTAGTACATCGAGATTCAGGGAGCTGAGTAACGGATTGTGATCGTGAGATCTATCAAGGTGAGGAAAGTAAAGAAAGTATTTACAACCCTTCCATATACAGAGTTCTTTATTAAGTTATTCGTTAAGGAAGGCTTGGCTAAGGCTTTATGTTGATGAAAGAAGTAAAATGAAATTTTGGTTTAGAGCTTGTTTCGCAAGCTGGTCTGCCTGTTCATTTTCTTTTATTTCGGTGTGAGATGGAACACAAATAAATGAGAGATTTCACTGTCTGACTTGATTTAGTAATTTGGTCAAGAGGAAGAAGAGAGATTCTTGTAGATTTCCGGGTGCCTTTTGTGAGAGACAGAAGGATCGAACGGCTGACTGTCGGGAATATTTTGCGAAAAGGAGCACCAAAGAGTTATTAACTATGTTCTTGAAGGGATGATAGGTCAACCCCGGGTGATTTTATAAAGGTAATAAGTTCTAAAAAATTAAGTAATCAGACCTTTGATTATTGTGTATTGGGGAATGAGCATGAAAAAGTAAAACTCTTCCGCAACAGCCAGTTGTTAATCAATGGACCATAAGAATGTTGGTTCAACAGTTTCGTAACCAACGGCATGGTGCTAGTAATAATATAAGCTGCGCACCGGCCGTCTTTACTTACTAAGTACCTATCAATCTGAAGCTGGGTGGACTACAAGGAACCGTGGGAAAAACAACCATTTATCTGTATAGTTACTATGTTTTTCTTTGCTATGGTATTTCAGTATCTTAACCACTGAGCGATTGCTGCTCGATAATAATGAAACCATTTCGTAAAAACTTATTTAGTGTAGCTCAGAAGATTTATTTTAAAATATAATAAATAACTCATTTACTTACGCATTTTTAATTTTAGTTAACTTTCTTTCTAGAATTATTCCTTTAAATTTGTGATGTTTAAAATATTAAAGAGGTTTCCAACATTGCTTTTTACATAAATCGTGTCATGCGTCAGTTCAGTTCTAGAATCAACTAAAGATGTAATTAATTTTTCATGGGTAAAGAATAAATCCTTATAATTATAAATTGCATTAACTGCTCTTTTATAGTAACGATTTTATCTAGGAATTTAATCCAATAAACAATAATGTTTTTATATTAATACCAGAAACCGTTGCTATAAATGTAATTAAGCGTAAAACCACTTTCGTCAAATATACTAATACAAGTTAGAAAAGTAACTTTATTTGGGGAGAAATACATTTGACAGGCAAAAGTTGATGCAGTTCTCGATATAGAAAAGGAGTTTCGTCTAATTATAACACTGTCGACATTTCTACACCTTTATTTCGAAAACAAGGCACTTCTTCAGGTACAGAAAGAGAAAAAGCAATTTCCCGCCTGTTTCCTCTCTTGTCAACCCCATCGCAAGAGAAATATTTCCTGAAAATAATGATTTCCTGTACAAAGCCCTTTGTTCCTGATGCCCTTTCAAGGAATGCTAGAATTTTCCGGGATCGTGCCTTATTCTTTTTCTTTCAGCAGCACGTGGAGTTCTTGGAATTTTTCTTCTGCGCTCTCGAACGACTCATGACTCTAGAAAAGTTCATTTTAATATATTGCAAAAAGCATGACTGAGATGTTTACTTAACGGACAAAGAGAAGCATACTTTCTCACCTGTTTTGTATTTTATGAATGTTGTTATTAAATGTTCCTGGAGACATTCCAGCGAATCGGTATTTTTTTTTCTTATAAAAAGTATCGATTCTTGTCAAAGAGAATTCCTTTTATTGGTTTCCAGGGATTATGTTGAAATAAATAAGTTTACGAGATTTTTGATGTAAAAAATAAGAGGAAAAATACAGAAATCGACAATAATCTGTCTAATTCATAAAATTATATACTTTTGTCTTTCTCGAAAAAACAACTTTTTCCCCAAATAGATAGATAATTTTTTAAGTAAAGCATTTTAAAACTTCATGCTAGTTGAATTCACGATAAAAAGACTAACCTAAAATAGTAAAAATCTTGTGCCTGCATTAAAGGTGTGCTTAGATGAAAGAAAACTCGCTAGAAACATAGCATAAAATATTGATTATTTTTCTTCAGATACATCGAAGATATATTGAAAAATTTTTTCACATTGCTCTCGAACGCCATGACTCTAGAAAAGTTCATTTTAATATATTGCAAAAAGTATGACTGAGATGTTTACTTAACGGACAAAGAGAAGAATACTTTCTCACCTGTTTTGTATTTTATGAATGTTGTTATAAAATGTTCTTGGAAACATTCCAGCGCAAAAAATATCGATTCGTGTCAAAGAGAATTCGCTTTATTGGTTTCCAGGGATTATGCTGAAATAAATAAGTTTACAAGATTTTTCATGTAAGAAAATAAGAGGAAAAATACAGAAATAGACAATATTCTGTCTAATTCATAAAATTATTTATTTCATCTTTCTCGAAAAGGCAATTTTTTCTCCAAATAGATATGTCATTTCTTAAGAAAAGCATTTTAAAACTTCATATTAGTTGAATTTACGCCAAAACAACTGAAGTAAAACAATGAAAATCAAGTGGGCCTGCGATAAAGATGTGCTTAGATGAAAGAAAATTTACTAAAATTTCTTATGAAATATTAAATCATAAATATTTGAAAATTTATAGTTACTCCACTTATTTTATGATTTGTGATGTAAATCTATGTTTTTAGTCGTTGTTCATTTTATTTGATGGCAGAAATAGCAGTAAAAAGTTTGACGAAATTTTGAAGTTAACTGCAGAGTTTTTCTAAAGTAAATCTTTTTAAATGTTTTTAAGAACGACTTGCTTGCGAAATTTTGCGAAACATCATATATAATGTTTCGCGTAGGAAACGGTATTTATTTTATTTGGTAATGGTATTTTTATTGGATGCAATTATTTACTATTTAAAAATGAACTACGCTCTGCCAAGGAGAAATTATTATAAAATATTTGCGACTTTTTCAAATTCCGGGCTAAAAAACTTGAGGTTAACTAATATTTATAGCTTTTTAATCAAGTGTAGAATTGTTAGTATAACTAAAAATTGTGCGTAATTTGAGAAGATAATCTTTTTTCATTAACATAATTTTCATTACAATTAAGAAAATACTTGTTTGATATTACTATAATGAACTAAAAATAAAATGCTAAAAACACTTTAATAAAAATACTATATATTTTAATAGTTAGTTTTGCGTTTTTAAGTTTTACTATATAAGTGCAAAGTATTTCTGAAACTAAATTGCTAATTTTGAACACATAGTTATAATCTTAAAATATGATAAATCTTAAAATATGATAAAATCCGATGATATATAAGGATTTTAAACATTCAATGATTTTAAATTATTATTTTCGATTTCCGAAATGTAAGATTTGTCTCGAAAAATGCAATTTATTTGAAGCTAGTTAAACAAATTATCCAACTTAAATTATTCCATTGAAATTATAATGAGTTATGCAGCGAGTGTGAGTTATCCAGTTACGAAATACATATATAAAGCAAGAAAAAGTTAAAAAAAGAATATGGTAGCAGAATGTATTACAAAGCATATTAAATGAAATATAAGGCATTATCTTACTCCAGCTGTTCAAATATCTCTTATTTTTATCGTTAAAACGCTGTTCGAATGCTTCTATTTTTATTCAGAATTTAATTCAAATATATGATATTTGTAGTTAGTTTGATGTTTGCAATTTAAGCACGAAATAGCAACCTCAAACCTAAAATTAATCAAGAATCTCGTTGTTTTTGCTTCACTAATTCAAAACCTATATTAATCTTCAATTGTAAAGAATCAAAACTATTGGTTGAATATTTTAAAAAAAAATTCATTAGAAGTATTTGGAATAATTTTATTATTGCTGATTCCAACTCTTGATATGAATTTATTTGCTTAACAATAAAGTTTAAAGTTAAAAAGCATTATTTTCTCAATTATTTCATTTCAATAGCTTTTTTATTTCATTTCATTCAACTTTTTCGATAGCTGTTTTTTTTTTTTTTAAAAAGTCTCAATGAAACAATTTTTGAATTTCGGGATAATATAACGAGAATTACACCAAGATAATTTTAAAAATTCTTCAAAAAATGAAATTAAATTTTTCTTAAAGAGAATCATTATTTTTCTCTCTAATTCAAATGCGATAGGAAAAAGCGACATAATTTTTTTTCAGGAAACACTTTTTGCGTTAACGCATACAGCGCCCCCTTGTTGTTACACTGTCAACTACTATAGCTGGGTAACAATTGAGTGTATTGTTGAGAGTCTTAACTGCTGGTTAAAAGCATAGTTTTATGTGTTCAATTGAAAGTAGGAAAGTAAAACAATCAGTAAATGTTTTGTAATTCGTTTTTTTAAAATAGATAATACTCTAGGAAGATTTTTAAAAGATATAGAGTGTTAAAGAAGAAAAAAATACATTTTAATCACATTTAGAGTAAGTTTCGTTTAATGAATTTTAATTCTCTCTCTTTCTCTTGTTCTTATCATGTTAATTTTGCAGACATATTCATAATATATGCTAGAACTGATAAATGAGTAAATATGAGTAAGTGCTATTTCATATAGTTACTGCCCAAATTCCTTTCGGATTAATTATCATAATGGATTTTTCTTTTCGCTGTTTATGATAAAATATGTCATATAACAAAATGAAATGAAAAGGACAGGGTGGTATGAACAGGAGTTAAAGCAGAAACATTAATAGCTTGATGATTGCTGATTGAAATTCTTCGGTTTTAATGCATCAAATAAACGTTTCCCTTTAAAGCTAATAGAGGGCTCTACTGTAACTAGAACACGAAGAACTTTTGGAAAAGGTGGTGCTGTGACGTCAAAAGTCCCCTAAAATTTAGACAATGGGAGTAATAATTCAATATAAATTTGCAGCAAATGTTATTTTATAACCTACCAAAAGACATTGAAACTTATTTTACATAATTCTTTAAAACATTTATTCTAATTTCCTTCCATATTCTTTATTTTATGTATATATATTAGTTTTCTAAACATCATAGCGTTACACAAGCATATTTAAAATCAAATTGATTCTTTATATCCTGACATTTGCATGATATTTGAGCTTTCGGTGGAAGAGTTTAAAATTTATAAGTGAAAACATTTAACTCGAAATAATGCTTTTCAAAATGAATAAAAGAAAAGTCAAGGGAAAACCCTTAACGTAAAAATAAGTGTATTTTCGATAAGTTTTCTTGATCTGTGGCTTTCGGGTTTTTATATTTCTTCCTTTCGAACATTGTATAATTTTTCTATTAAGGAAAAGCACTTCCCGTTTATCGAAAATCGAGGATTTGGATAGATAACTGTTTACGTCTGTGAGTCAGAACTTTGAAATAATGATTTTCTTGACTATATGTTGACATGAGAAGAAGAAATGTTGTCAAAAGAAAAATTCGATATTGGATTTATCCCTTAGTTTTCTCAGAAGTTCTGGTTGTTTTAAAATTGGTTTAGCATCGATAAGTAGCTATTTCTTTTTGATTTTGTTAGTAAAATTTTGACATCCAGTGTATAGTTATTAGTGCAACGAGGTCACAATAATCTTCTGCACATTTGATTTGAATATAAATAGAAAAAAGGCTACCAAAAAAAGTAACGCTATGCAAAATAAATGAGCCAAAATCAATCAAAACCTACCAGTTTGTAAAATACTGAAGTATTCTTGCTGAGATTTGAACCTTGTTGCTCATGCAGTAGGTTGGTGGAAGGGAATAACACATCACCCAAAAGAAATAGCGATTTTCTTGACTAAATGTTGACATGAGAAAAATAAATGTTTTTTTTAAATTTTTTTTTTATTTCCAATGAGCTGCACAATCAGTCTTGCCGATGAGCAGACCTAGTGCGTTCTCCAGAGGTGGTATCCACTCTTTCAGGACCACCACAATGGGTGAGATACCGTTGGTCACGGTAATTTGGACGTCTAGTTTCTGCCACACTAGATGGCAGCACCGAGACTCTATTTGGATGTTAAAGTGCACTAGGAATTTAATTTTGCCGGAAATGCCAAGAGCCAATAGGGCACTCCAGGGATCTTTCACATGCCGCATAATCATACGACATGGCCGCTTAGGATTTTCTCCATCCCGAAAATCCGGTGTCTGGGCCGGGGATCGAACCCGCAGACTTTGGCTCAGAAGGCCGACGGCAAACCAACTGCGCCACCCAGCCACACAGAAAAATAAATGTTGTCAAAAGAAAATTTCGATATTCAATTTATCCCATAGTTTTCTCAGAAATGCTGACTGTTTTAAAAATCGGTTTAGCATCGATAAGTAGCTATTTCTTTTTGATTTTAATAGTAAAATTTTGACATTAAATGCATAGCTATCAATATAATTAGGCTGCAATCATCTTTTGTGTATTTTATTTTCGCATAGCATGGAAATTAGGAGGAAAATTTATTAAAAAAATGTCTACTTTATTTTTTAGCTTTCATTTAGAAAAATATAATCAATTGCAACGCCATGCAAAATTACAAACTTAAACCTGTCAAAATCTGCCAGATTATAATCGAAGTATTCTTGCGACCCGAATCTCGTTGTTCATCCAGTAGGTTGGTAGGGAGAAGTAACATCTCACCAGAACGAAAGAATGATTTGTCTGACGGAATAGATTAACTTCTGAATTGAATACTTGCACTTCAAGAAGAAGACCATAGATACCCACACATGTGATCTATGACGTCAGCGCTATCTGATCACTTCTATGAAAAATGGTGTGTTAAAGCTATAAGTTAGAATATTAATTAACATGAAGATAAGTAAATGCAGAACCGTATCACACATCAAATTAATTCGCGATCGCAACGCTCGAGTACGCCGTCTAGCGGGAGCCTGTAAATATCAGACATTAATTTATCACGTTTTTATTTAGTTCCATCAAAGTCATTGACAGAATCAGACGCCATTTTTAGCAGCAAATAAGAAACAAAATTTCCTGAAAGAAAAGGCCGAAGAACTTGAAAAAAATCTCCAGAATATTAGTAAATCTTTCAGGAACAGAACAGAACACGCCAAACATTTGAAGAAAAATTCCTCTTTTTAATTTCT